GCAATCCCTTCTCTTCCATTCTCCTCTCAGGATCTTGGGCATGCACGCACACGTGCCCGGCGTGAGTCTAAGCCACTGGGTCCGGGACTCAAACTACGGTCGACTACGTGGGAATCCAGCGACATAGCCATTATGCTAACTGCTGGTCCCAGGGCAGTGATTCTTAAACTGTAGGAGGCACATTCCCTTGGGGGACCTGGAGGGCATGTTGCCCTCCCCCATCACTGCAGCAGCAACCTAGCAGTCCTTGGTGCCAGCTGGGTCTCGCGGAATCTTTCTTGAGGCTAGCATAGGCCTTCAACCAAGGTGTTCCGTGAGCCCACCTCTTTGAGTGGGGGCTGCTCCAGGTGACCCTGGCGATCCTACAGGTTTACGAAAACCTTGACCCACGTTGCCACATCTGGGTGTCTTGGGAAGCAATCGTAGATTTAGCTCTATGTCACAAAAGCCGTAGTTTTCACCCTCCCACCTGCTCTCCATGCCTGGGTGTCTTAGGGGTCTGCCCTGGGCCCTCATCTCTTTTCAAGCACTTTCATACCATGCCTTAGCAGCCGCCCCACTGCTATTTTGGATCCACTCCAAGGGCCCTGGGCATGGGCGTGCCTACTGTGGTGGTTGGGAGTCGAACCACTCAGTCAGCCATGTGGGATCCAGCTACCTTAACCACTACTCCACCAGTTGTCCTGCATTCAGTGTTTCTTAATTTTTATTTTTATTTTTTTTATTTTTAGATTTTTGTATAGGGCACATGTGCTCACTGGAGAGACAGAGAGACAGAAAGCAAGAAATCATCCCCTAGGGGGGATGTCCACACCACAATCACTTCTCCATTCTCCTCTTGGGATTTTGGGCATGCATGTACACTTGCCCAGCAGGACTTTCAAACCGCTGGATCCAGGATTCGAACCACAGTCAGCTATGTGTGAGTCCAGCGTTTGAGGCACTATGCCACCTGCTGGTCTGAATTCAATATTTTTAAAGTGAATTTTTTTTTTTTTGAGAGGTTTTTGCTATAGGGCACGTTTGCTCGCCAGAAAGAGAGAGAGAGAGAGATAAAGAGACAGAAAGCGAGAAATCACCCCCAAAGGGGGGGGGGATGACCACGCTGCAATCCCTTCTACTCTATTCTCCTCTCAGGATCTTGGGCACACATGCACATGTGCCCGGCGTGAGTTTAAGCCATCGGGTCCAGGACTCCAACTGCGGTTGACTATGTGGGAGTCCAGTGACATAGCCATTACACCAACTGCTGGTCCCAAGGTGGATTTTATTAGGCCACTCAAAGGTGATAAAAACCTGCTGGATCAATTTGGTGGAGCCAAACTTTCAAAGACGCCAGGGAGAATGAGACGTGTGTGTCACAGGGCATGGGCGTCACTCCTGGCCCATGACTTGATAACTGTGTGCTCTTGGGCAAGTTACTGAATCTCTGCATGTGCCGGTTTTCTCAACTAGAAATTAAGGTTTTTCTAAGATAATAATCATGCTTGTTCCACTGCTGAATTTGGGAAAGTGGAAAACTATACACAAGAGTAAGATAGAAATCAAACTGTCAGTTTTATTGCTTGGTTCCGAGGCCATGATGAAGTTTCCTGAAACTTCCTTCCCTTCTGTGCCTTACCTGGGGGAAGGGAAACGCTTGCCTGGACTCAGCTTTGCCTAGTTCTTAGCGATGGGAGCGGCAGGTGAGAGCACCTGTCCAGCATCAGGCTGGCAGGCTCGGCTACGTGGGAGTCCAGCGACATAGCTATTATGCCAACTGCTGGTCCCACCATTCTAACCATTTTTTAAAAAAGGTTTGCCATAGGGCATGTGAGCTTGCCAGAGAGAGAGCATGAGAGAGAGGAGAGAGAGAGAGAGAGAGAGAGTTTTTTTTTTTTGAGAGGTTTTTGCTATAGGGCACGTTTGCTCGCCAGAAAGAGAGAGAGAGAGAGATAAAGAGACAGAAAGCGAGAAATCACCCCCAAAGGGGGGGGGGATGACCACGCTGCAATCCCTTCTACTCTATTCTCCTCTCAGGATCTTGGGCACACATGCACATGTGCCCGGCGTGAGTTTAAGCCATCGGGTCCAGGACTCCAACTGCGGTTGACTATGTGGGAGTCCAGTGACATAGCCATTACACCAACTGCTGGTCCCAAGGTGGATTTTATTAGGCCACTCAAAGGTGATAAAAACCTGCTGGATCAATTTGGTGGAGCCAAACTTTCAAAGACGCCAGGGAGAATGAGACGTGTGTGTCACAGGGCATGGGCGTCACTCCTGGCCCATGACTTGATAACTGTGTGCTCTTGGGCAAGTTACTGAATCTCTGCATGTGCCGGTTTTCTCAACTAGAAATTAAGGTTTTTCTAAGATAATAATCATGCTTGTTCCACTGCTGAATTTGGGAAAGTGGAAAACTATACACAAGAGTAAGATAGAAATCAAACTGTCAGTTTTATTGCTTGGTTCCGAGGCCATGATGAAGTTTCCTGAAACTTCCTTCCCTTCTGTGCCTTACCTGGGGGAAGGGAAACGCTTGCCTGGACTCAGCTTTGCCTAGTTCTTAGCGATGGGAGCGGCAGGTGAGAGCACCTGTCCAGCATCAGGCTGGCAGGCTCGGCTACGTGGGAGTCCAGCGACATAGCTATTATGCCAACTGCTGGTCCCACCATTCTAACCATTTTTTAAAAAAGGTTTGCCATAGGGCATGTGAGCTTGCCAGAGAGAGAGCATGAGAGAGAGGAGAGAGAGAGAGAGAGAGAGAGAGAGGGAGGGAGAGGGAGGGAGAGGGAGAGGGAGAGACAGTGAGAGGAATAATGAAAAATCACCCCCTGGGGAGATGACCCACACCACAATTCCTTCTCCTTCATTCTCCTAGAACTTTGAAAACATACACACATGAGCCTGGTGTGATTTTCAAGCCACTGGGTCTGGGACTTGAATTGTGGTTGGCCATATGGGAGTCCCATGCCTTAACCACTACACAACCTGCTGGACCCCATTCTAACTTTTTTTTTTTTTTTTTTAATGTTTACTAGAAGCTAGGAAGGATGAAGGGTAGGGGGCAGAGGGATGTTGTAAAGCGAGAAATCACCCCAGCAGGGGACAGCCATGCTGCAATCCCTTCTCTTCCATTCTCCTCTCGGGATCCTGGGCACGCACGCACACGCGCCCGGTGTGAGTTTAAGCCACTGAGTCTGGGGCTTGAACTGTGGTCGTCTACATGGGAGTTGAGCGACATATCCATTACTCCAACTGCTGGTCCCCATTCTAACCATTTTTAAGTATATAATTCACTGATATTAAGTACACCCGTAAGGTTGTACAACCAGCACCTCTACTTCCAAAACCTTATTATCATCTCAGAACTTTGATTATTAAGCAGTAAGTCCCTATTCCCGCTCACTCTCACACCACTTGGAAACCTCTAATATTCTGTCTTTTTTTTTCAATTTGCCAGATGGTGTGCACGCTTGCCAGAGAGAGGCAGGGAGAGGGAGAAATCACTCCCTGTGGGACGTGGTCACATTATAATCCCGGCTCCTTTATTTCTCCATCCTGTCAGGATTGGGGGCACACACAGATGCTCAGCATGTTTGTCGAGCCAGGAGTGCCGGCGTGTGAACCTTGCTTGCCACATGGGATCTGGTTCTTTACTAGGCCACAGGGCCAGCTGTTTTCTTCTATCTTTATGAATTTGCTTATTTTAGATATTTCATATAAGGCAGGTATTCAAAATTTTCATGCAAAATGTGTAGCATAAAGAAACTTATGTGTGGGGGCTGGCAGGTGGCATGCTGGTGGGAGGCACTGGATTCCCACATGGCCGACCATGGTTCGGGTCCCGGACTCGGCGGCTTGCTTTCTCACTTTCCCTTTCTCTCTCTCTCTCTTTGTCTCTGGTCAAATTTAAAAATAATAGGGAACCAGCAGTTAGCATAATGGCTATGTTGCTGGATTCCCAGGTAGTGGACCGCGGTGGCTTAAAACTCACGCCGGGCGCGTGTGCGTGCGTGCCCAAGATCCCGAGAGGAGAATGGAGGAGAAGGGATTGCGGCGTGACCATCCCCCCTGGGGGGTGATTTCTCGCTTTCTGTCTCTATGTCTCTCTCTGTCTGTCTGGCGAGCGCACGCGCCCTACAGTGAAAATCTCTCCAAAAAAAA